AACTTATTACTATTACAACACTTAACCGAGCAAAGGAAACTTTGGATGGCAAAAAGTGGTCCCTATTTCGGTCAATACCCTTGACCGAACAAATCCAAACTGTTCCATATTTCGGTCAAGGGTATTGACCGAACAAAGCAATCCAAAAAAAAAAAAACATTAATGACTTCCGGAACAAGATTACTCCCGTAACAAGATTACTTCGGTCATTTTTCTTGACCGAACCAGTTTCTGTTCCCGCTCTAGTGTTTTTGAGTGGGAGGTTCAAAATTATTTTCTTTTATTTCGGTGAGTTTACCTATCCGAATTAATGAATATCTACTTCTATATATAGTGCTTCTCTTCTCCTTTTTTTTTCTCAATCTCTCCTTCTTTCTTATATCTTTCTTCCGCATTCTTATATTAGTTTAGTTTAATTTTTTAATTCTCTTAATTTATAATTTAAGGTTTAAGTAAAAGTTTTCTTATTTTTACTTTCATCTTTCTTTTTATTTTACTTCTTTCTTATATATATTTTTGTGCTTCCACTAATGATTTTATCTTTTATTTAAATAGGTTCTTTAATTTGGTGAAGAATGCAAGAAAATTGAGGTAATTTACTTATCTACATATGTTTCTTTTTTTTTTTTCACTCTATAGTTTATTTGATTCCATTGTAATTTTTTTATGTATTTTGTATTACATTCTTTTATGATTACAAATGTGGAAGTTTTTTTTTTCACCACATTGAATATATGTAATTTTCAAATTATTTTACTACTAGAAATATATCATACAAATTTTAAATTATTGTTAAAAAACTAAACAAATAATAACAATTGTACATACTAATTTTCACAATTATAAAAATTTCGAATTATTTTACTACTAAATGTTTTTATAATATTCATTAAGTAACCCAAATAACCATTAATTTATTAAATAATTTGATTTTTTTTTTTTTCAAATCTGATCAATATTTCGGTCAAGAACCTTGACCGAAATAGGTTGCGGAAAAGTTTACAGCACCCCAAATATTGTGCAGTCTTCCGCAAATTCTCGAAAATTTTCCCAATATATTTCGGTCAGGTGACATGACCGAAATAGAGTTAATTGTACCGCCATTTTTCTCAATTTCCCCCCAAAATTCCGCAACATATTTCGGTCAAGTATTTTCACCGAAATACAGTTAATTTTCCGCCAAAATTATTCAAATCCGTTCAGAATTTTCCAATATATTTCGGTCAAGCAACTTGACCGAAAAAGAGATGGTTTTTTACATCCCCCCAAAATATCCTTACATGTTATTCAGTCAGTCGTCTTGACCGACCTATTAAATTAAAATATTATTAAATATTTCGGTCATATTTTTTGTCCGAATGTAATCATTTTTTACTAATATTTTGAGGCATAATTTCGGTCATTTTGTTTGACCGAATTCTCCATATATTTCGGTCAAGATGAAAATTTCTCCGAAATAGTATTTCGGGGAGACCATATTCGGTCCAACAAGTCGGTTAAATTGCTTGACCAAATTATTTTTTATTCGGTCATAATATGCACTATTTCGGTCATTGTCCTTGACCGAAATACTCCAAAAATCTAGTAGTGAACCCAGGTCTGGGTTCTCCAGGAGAACCCACCAAGAACCCAATCTGGGTTCTCCTAGGAAAACCTAGGTCAAGTTCTCCAGAAAAAAAAAAAAGAAGAAGAAGAAGAAGAAGAAGGTGGGAACCTGGGAGAGGCTAGCAATTGTGTTGCATATGATTAGGATAAGAATGGAGTTGAGGAGGAAGATGGATTTGGTGAGGACGAAAAGAGTTGGGTGAGTTGGTAAATGGCTAAAGAGATGGTAACGGAAATAAGTGTAATTAACGATAAAATAACAAAAATTGAAAGAGTGTAACAAAGTGTGTGGTGTGGGAGTGTGCATGCATCATTATCAAAATTTAAATTATTAAATAAGGTATAAAATGAAAAAAATTTGTAAAGTAAAAAATCTTATCATACGAAAGCCTTAATTGTATATATCTCTATCAAATGTTGCTAAATTTTTCATAACCAAAATTAAAAATAAAAACAATATTACTAAGGTCTTCTATTCTTAACATCTAAAAATAGAAGGTCATTAAGCATTTTTCTTTCCTTTTTCAAATCACGACTTTTTTAATGTCATTGAAAAATAAAACAGGATTAAATACTACATTGAATAACCCTCATGAAAAACAAAATGAGAGACAAAAAAAAAAAGAGCTCTACTATATAAATACATTTCCCTTTTATCTATTTTTTTGTTAGAAAAATAGTGAGTGCTAACATTATTTTCTTACACATAATTCATAATTGGATCCACCCTCTGTCTCATTGTCTAATCCTTTCCAGATAAGAAAAATATTTATCCACCAAAATTAAATAAAAAATACTTAAAATTAAGTTATTTTAATAAATTATTATTTAAAATTTTATTATTTTTTATAATAATATTTTATTAAAACAATATAATTTTTAAAGTATTTTGTTTTATAAACTCAATTAATAAACACTAATCTCATTCTAGAGATGCTTAAACTAAAACCACAAATTGAATTAAATTATTTAAACAGACCGAAATGAACAGAACCACTGGTGGCATTGAGCCATTCCCCCTGCAAGAATGATCCTACTGTAAATTTTTTGGCTTCTTCCTTGGTTATGGATTTCAGGCCCGGCCACTTCACCCTGCCGTCCTTTTCTGCGCCGGATCCCAAGTTGTTGAACTCTGCGTAGAACAGAGTAGTGAGGGCAAAGTCTCCGTCCCAAGCCAACCACCCAGCGGGGTCGATGAGGTCCTCAATTGTTGATTCCATTATGACTGTTCTAGAATATTGCTTCCACGGCCGTCCGAGGTAGGTCTTGAATTCCGACTTGACGGAGGCGAAGGAATCTTCCGGCTGGATTTTGCAGTTTTGTAGGACGATTCCGGTGGTTTGGAATTTGTCTACCCTCCCCTGGGCCGTGATGGTATTCTGCTGGTCTTTCATGGGTTTCCTGACGTAGATCAGGCAGTTTTGGAAGATGGCGGCGGCATCTCCGAAGATGAAATCGACGGTTCCAGCGACGACACAGCTTCTGTAGAATTGGCGGTGGGCTTGGACGTAGAGGGTGTCTTGGTATCCCTCAAAGCGGCAGTTGAGGAAAATGGCTCTGTCTGCTTGGACTCTTAGGGCCACTGCTTGTTCCTTCTCTGGACCTGCAGTGTTCCTAAAGCCCATTGCTTGTCCCAAAAACCCATCTCCCATCACCGCTGAAAACCCAAAAAAAGTCACATTTCTTGATAGTAATACTAAATATACCATCAAAAATTTATTTTACAATTTAAATTACATTAAACTATATAACATAAATCGATAAATGAAAACTGAACTCTTTAATATTAAGGCTCTTTTCTCATCCAACCGTCCATGTTTTATAGTTCATTACAAGTTGAACTGCTAACAGAGAACTTATATACTATATTGTATAATTGCCAAAGAAAAACAAAATTATATACTTAGAGTCAAGTGTCTGATATAAATATATGTATTTAACATACCAACAGTTGCGGTTAAGTAAGTGTTGATGCCATCTACTTTATTTTTGTTCCCGGTGATGATGGATTTTTGTGATCCTTCGCCGTATATTGTGACATTTACCATCTCCTTTGTAATATTCACATATTCTTCGTAGATTCCTCCTTTAACAAATATCACATACCTAAATTTTGAAAATTAAAGAAAGAAGTAAATGTTAGTCAAAATATGCAAGTTGTCAGGGAGCTTTGCTACTAAAATTCTAGAATGTTTCAATTTTGAATTTTTCATTATTATTTTTTTATTAAAAAAATGAATTTTTTTAATTAAAAGGTGCTCCCCATACCGTCCATCATATTTTGAGGGCATTGCAGCCAATGCATCACTAATTGTGGTAAAGTTTCCGCTACCATCTTTAGCGACAGTTACATTTGGTGTCGGCTTGTCAAGATCCGCCTTTAACATCCTCCTTTCCTCACGGTTCATCCATTTTGGAAGCCCGTCCTTCCGCATAGAAAGTGAGCCAAACTGCAAAAGATGGCGACTACCTGTTGGCATTTGTGTCACCGATGAAATGATTGACGACATTTGTTTAACCATTGCCAAAGCGTTACTAGTTAGTTCTTGACTGGCATTAAATGCTTCCTTCATGTTTGACCTCAATTTCCCTTCAGAGAAGGCATCAATGCAGTTTTCTTGATACGACATCACCGCACTAAGCCAACTATTAGTGTCATTATGATTTGTCCCTAGTTTTCCTAAGTCGTCGCCCATGTTAGCAGCAGACTTTTGTAATTCTTCCTTGGCATCATCTACAACTTGCTTGCAAATCTCAAATGCTTGTTTTTCCTCTGGCGTGTTAAACTCTAACTTGTTAATCTTTGTAAATGCCTCCTCGAGCTTATCCGCAGTGGCAGAGATCCCCAATTTAATGAGATCCTTTGGGTTAGTTTTTGCTGTAGGATTATTTTTCACTACTTTTTGAAGAGTACTTAGACATGAATCTTGATAAAGTGTACCATTACATATAGTCTTTATCATCTTCTCAGAGTCTTTTACCACCCCATTGGATGTAGATGGAGAATGCGTTGATTTGCCCTTAGCAGGCTGAGACTTTTCCTCCTCATTTTTCTTTGACATAACCACAGCAAAGATTCCAGCTGCAACTAAAATCAAGAGTATGAAGATTGCAATAGCCGCTATAGTAACTCGTTTTCTAAACTTTCTCTGCCGTTCTTGCCGACGGCGTTCTTGTATAAGGTCAAAATCTTGAAAAACCATTTCTGTACACCTTGAGCCTTGAGGCAGAGATCTCTCTGCCTTAGAATGAAGCTAAGGCAGAGAGGACAAAAAGAAAGAATCCCTAAAAAGAAACGTGAAAAAGTTTGAATCTTGTAACCTCCCTCTCCCTCTACCTATCTTTTCTCCGGTAATGAGTTATGAATCTTATTATTGGAATACAAGTCATAAAATAGATATGGATAGGAGAAGTTTTAGGTATTCTACATAAAAAGTTAGTTAGGCCCTTCATAGCCTAACCGCATTTCCAACAAAATTCTTGTTCATTTTTTGCCTTTCATTTTTGTACTTGAATTATAAAAATTCAGCTAAAAAAAAATAGACGAGTGAAAAAAGGGGCAAATGGAGCATTTAAAAAATAACAATAAAATTTAAAGAAAAATATTTGTATAAAATATAACAATCAATTTAAAACAAATTTTAAATAAAAAAAAACAGCCGTTATTTTGAGTAAGGACTGGCAGAAGAATGTAAGATTTCTGATTTTCAGATCATAAAAGTAATTGAAAACTTTTTTTTTTTTTTTTGTTCCTTTTTAGATTGATGGGTTATGCCTTGCATAATATATATTTCAATTTGGTCAAAGAATTTAAGGGTAATGATCTAAATGGACCTAAATGGCCATACCTCATTGAATGAGAGGGGTTGGGCCATGTCTTACACCCAAGCACTACTAATGCCCCACCTTTAAAAATTTCCTAAGTTCCAAAAGAAAAAAAAAAACTTTTAAATGCAACTCACACATATAAACTTTTGATAATAATATGTTAACAATATTTGTTGGTAACAAATCTTCAAAACACTCCGACCCTCTCACCTGATAGTGAGAGAACAAAATCCAAATAAATACCAATACCTATTAAGGGTAGAAAAATAGGAATTGAGAGGAATAACTCTCGTGGTGCAACCACTCAACATCATATTCATCTAGGCAATTGAGGAAAAAACCAAGGAGACTATTGTTATGTCATGTTACTAATATTTGTTGTCAACAAATATTATGTAAATGAATCATTTTTGTAATTTTTTTAATAAGAAAATGAACATTAGTGACCCTAAAGTTATACTCAACAAAGTTCAGTTACCTAAATACTGCATTTTAAAAGGTTGGTGACCTCCTAGAAAAATTTACCATTTATCCATATGGGCACCAAAAACGGAGTGAATTAGAAGTGTTGATCTTGTCAAAATTCAGTACAGACAAGGAGACGGTGTTTTTTTTGTTTAGAGTTAAGTGGGGGATGGATCTTAGAAACAAGTACAAAGACTTGGTCTCCTTTTCAATTTTAGGCCACAACTTTTGAAAAACATTGAATGCTACACTTTTTAGAGGAAAACAAGGCTGGTGGTCCCCTGTAATCTACCCTAAATATCTTCCAGTGCAAGGGCCCTCTCCTTTGAGCAACATTACATCACATAATTCTATATTGAATCATCATATGGAAATGAAGTTGAATCCAACCAGGCATAGCCGGTGATAAATTCGGATACAGTAAAATTATAAGCATCTTCATAACTCATTACATGATAACCAGGCCAACTAACCCGGTCTTCAGTCCCCGCACCTGGCCCGTAATCGTCATACTCTCCGTAATACAGGGTGTCCGACCCTTTCCCACCAGACCATTCGATCCAGCCCTTGGGGTTAATAAATGCATCAATATATGACTCAAGGAAAACTGTCCTGGAGTACACCCTCCAGGGTCTTCCCAGGTAACTCTTGAAAGAACTGGAACTAGCATATAAATCATCTGCAGCAATCACTGAGCAGTTTTGTATCGAAATACCGGTGTCCTCGTCAGGGGTGTCCCGTGATTGAGCCGTGATGACTGTGAATTGGCCCGACATTGGCATCCGAGATATAATGTTACATGCCTGGAAGACTACGGCAGCGTTACCAAAAATGTAGTCAATTGTACCCGAAATGTCACACTCCCTGTAAAATTGCCTGAAAGAATGGACATACAACGAATCCTGGTACCCACTGATGCTGCATCTGTATAATGCAGCAAAATCTGCATTTATTCTTAACGCTACCGCTTGGTTCTTCACCGGTCCGGCAGAGTTCTCAACGGAAATATCCCGTGCTAGAAAACCGTCCCCAGATACCGCTGAAACACGAAAAAAGTTCTACGAATTTATACTATTCTCGGACTGTTATATCAAAGAAAGGTAAAAATTACTCTACCAAGAGTTGCAGATCGAAAAGTAGTCCAGCCGTCGCCAACACTTCGGTTTCCGGTAATTAAAGTGAGATCAGCTCCATCTCCGAGCAGAACAATGTTTGTTTTATGGGTTGGAATCTCAACATTTTCTTTATAAACCCCTTCTTTAATGTAAATAACGACTCTGTCATAACTATTGTTAGGAGAAAAATTGATAGCATCCGTTACGGTACTGAAGTTTCCGCTACCATCTGCAGCCACCGTAATCACCTCACTCGGGTTATATTCATCCCCAACGCTCAGCAAAATTCGGCGATCTTTTCTCGAAACCCATCTCGGAAATCCCAAGAGCCGGCGAGTTTGGTGACCCGGTTTAGGAACTGACTTCGAAAGCATGGACAGAGAATTACTAACATGCTGGTAAGTGCTAGTAATTGAACTAACCAAAACCGGCTTCAAGGGACCGGAAGCAGTGTCCAGCCCTTCCAGACAGGTGTTCTTGTTCGTGAGGGCTGCACTGAGGTAAGCCCTGGCGTCGGCGAGATTCCGGGCATTGCCTGACTTGATTTTTGACACTGATCTCTGTAGAGACGTCAGTGTGATCTGGTGAAGGTCTCTGCAGTCCTGGATTGTACCTCTCTGGTTTTCTAGAATCGAGTTTCCAGGGTTCGAGAACAGATTGGTTAGTTTTTCTGCTTCGGATAATGCTTGCTGGAGGGTTTGGAGTAAGAAGTTAAGGATGTTTGGGCTTATGTTAATGGAAACAGAAAGCTTTAAGGAATCAAAACAGGCATCTGGGTATGGTGTGGTTTTGCAGAAACTTTTTATGGAAGAAAGATTGGAATCTAGGGAAGTTGAAGAAGATGAAGAAGAGTTGAGGGCAAATGTTGAGGAGAAGAAGATTGAGGGGAGGAGAAGAGAGAGGGTTTTAGAGGAAGCCATGAGAGTTGATGCAGAAGCAGAGGGTGCTCCGCACTTTTATGCTACTGAGGAAGTGCGTATGTGTGGTTTTTTTTTTACTGATTCAACGGGGCCTAATATTTTGTTTGGAATAATTATCATCACAGATTTTGATGATCTTGATGTTTGAGAAAAGAACAGAGATTGTGGAAATTTCATTTTCTCCTGTGTATAACATCGAAATTTGATAGCGACTTGTCTGGGAATCCTGCTTGGCCTCATAGGCACGGTAATTGCTTTCAATTTGGTGAAATTGAATATATAGTATGTAGCCTTTAAAATTGGTTCAACTGGGCTTGGATCTTTTACTCATTGCAGTTAATTTGTTCCTTAACCTTTCTTTTAAGTTGTTTGTAGTTTGATATGATTTTTACTTATTTACTATTTCAAATAAATGGAAATGATCTTCTAAATAACAATTAAATCTTTAGATTCTATTTGGTTTTAAGCATTTCAAACAGTTTATAACCAAAAATGAACACCCAATGATTTATATATATTATTATTTAGGTTAACTCTATTTTGGTCCCTGAATTATTGTATAGACCCCTGATTTGGTTTTTGAACTAAAGAAATTCCTAATTTGGTCCTTGAACTATTGTACGGACCCTGAGTTGGTCCCTAAACTATTGTACGGACTCCCGAGTTAGTCCCTAAACTATTATACGGATCCCCAATTTGGTCCCTACTGTTTATCAATTTAGCCCCAACTTGGTCCTTCTGTTAAATAATAGCTCAGGGACCAAATTGTGGTGAAATTGTAAACAGTAAGGACTAAATTAGGGGTCTGTGCAATAGTTTAAGGACCAATTTAGGCCAAATTATAAACAGTGGGACCAAATCAGGGGTCTGTATAATAGTTTAGGGACCAAATCAGGAATTTTTTTAGTTCAAAGACCAAATCGGGGGTCCGTACAATAGTTCAGGGACCAAAATGAGGATTTAACCTATTATTTATAATTCAAACACAATCAACAACATCTTAGTAGAAAACTTTAAATCCAAACCTTAATCTTTATTTCTATACCCCTTAGCCTATACTATCTTGTTTATTTTTATCAAATTTATAATCAGGGCAAGCCATAATTTTAGTGGAAATTGTGATGGTTAATATAGATTGCAGATCACCATCTTAGTTGGTGCTTTGGATGGTACTTATACATGGCTTATCTAAAATAAAAAAAAAAAAAACTACTAATAATAGAACCAAACTTAAGAAAGACCAAATTGTATGGTTTAAACTTTGGACAGACCAAATTGTAGGGTTTAAACTTGGGAAAGACCAAATTGTATGGTTTAATAAGGACTCAACCCTAAACCAATATCATGTAATAGTCACACCTATACATGCGGATTTTTTTAGATTGATGAAAAAGAAATGACCCAAGATTAAAGAAGTCCGTGTGACCCAAGTGGCCACTTAACCATTAGTTAAAGGGCATCTTACTTTGAGTGTGTGGTTTAATCCCCATCCCTTCCCACATTCCTCTGCTATAGCTGTGGTCACTACTACCAAAAAGGACAGTCGGTGGATTGCACCCTTGTTCAGATTCAATACCTCCCATTAACAATTCTAACTTTACTAACCCGTAACCATTGATCTTGTTAAAAAAAAAAAAAAAAAAGAAGAAATGACCCAGGATTCAATTAGATCATTAATTTGAAATAAGTTCTACAATCAGAAAGGTTGGAAACTAATTACACCATGCTTAAAAAGATGAGGACCACCCTGCAAAATTCAGACAATGAACATGCTTAAATAGAAAAATTCCTGCCCAATAACATATAGCTAATTTGCAATAATGGAGAAAGGAGCTGCATCTGACAATGAACATGTTGAGTAATCCTTTCCACATTTTGAAAATTTTTGTGTTGGCTTTACATGCTGGATTTTTATGCTTTATTATCAAAAGCCCGTGTTGATGTTGACGATAAACCCAGGTAAGGACAAGAGCAAACAGAAACTTGATCACGACATGAGACATAGTTCTGTGCTGCGGTTTCCTCTTTTCCATTTTTCACCGACCTCTTATATATTTTCCATTATTTTTTCATTTTTTATTATGCAATTATTTTGGGGTTGACTATAAAATTAAGAAAACATAAAAGGGTAATGATGTAAATAATTTAATAATATTTTTTTAATAAAAATAAAAAATTTTAAGTTAAATGACTTGGTATTGGAGTGGAGTTAAATTAAAATTAATAAAAAAAAATTAACTCTTATTTTACTTAAACCTCACCTTAATAATGTTAAATTAAAAAAATTGAAACACATTATAATTTTAAAATTAATTAATTTAAAATTACATAAAATTGACCAGCGACCTAAATAACTCAATGATCATCTCTTTTCACTAAAAGTAAGAGATTCTGAATTC